GTAACAAATGGCACGCCATCTACACGCAGGCCGAACCCCTATGAACCCTTGTTGTTATTCTGAGCGCAGGATGGGACGTTCATACTATTCAGTGGCCAGACATTTGGGCGACCACTGAAAACCAATCCACTATCCAATTAACTTGTTCTGGAAGGCTGGAAAGATTAGACCTATGTCAGACTTTGCGAATCGAGCGATTCGCTAGCGTCCGCGGTCGCGTTGCGGTACCAGCCAATTGAGTGATTCACTGGCCGCGACGCGACCGCAGACGCTAGCGAATCGCTCGATTCGCAAAGTCTGACATCGGCCTTAGCTGGTCTAGGGAGGAGATTGTCTGGAAATTGACCAGCGGGCCGAGCGTCTAGGAAGTGGTCTCACTCGTAACGCGATACTTTGCCCACGCAGTCGAAAAGATGGCTTAAATATCATGGAAATTCGGCCGAACGCAGCAACCCCTAATAGTCATCCTCCAATCTAGTCTCAGGGCAATGATGAGACCACACTGGTAGCAAGCGTAAAACAAGTGAATTCAGTAATATGAACCAAAAAGAAGGACACTCACTTCTTCGATAAAATTTTGTCTTTCAAGATACATTTCCTTAGCTCTGGACGATCACTGATTACCTGAAGTATCAACAGTAGGTTTTATCGTAGCCGAGTAACTTGAAATCTCATAAATAAGTGTTTGATTTTTGGGGAGGAAGCACGCTTTTCTGCTAGCCCCTATTTTTTTCTCGACAATTGTTTTCGGAGGGTTCTTCATTCTAAATAATGAATATTTAGGTTAGACAGTTTCAGAATCCGCTACTCGGAGAGCACGGCAGTAGTGGCAAAAGGTGTTACATAACAAGCCCAGGGGCCATAAATTAAATCCTGGAACGTACGCCGCCAGGCTAACCAAGCCCTCCACACCCTCCAAGGTCGGCTAATTGCTACCATACTGGGGAGGAGGAGGAAAAAAAACACTGAATTGCACATCTGCTGGCCCCTCGCAAGTTATTGTATAGGTCCAAACGCATTCAAAACCACTGCGAATGGATCTGAATGGAAGTAAAATACATGGCGCGTCCCATAAATGATTTCTAAACCGAATTTCTCCACCCTTTATGCTGATTACACTCCCATTAACAGCCGGGCTTGAAATCGGGAGGACTTATTTAAATACAAGACTTTCTGGCGATTCATTTGATTATAAACGCAAAACAAAAGGGAAATAAATAGACCTTCTCCACAAATTTCCTTCGTATGGTCATTTCATCAACGGGTTGCCTTGCATACTTTGCCCATATACGACGGCGCTCAGTGAAGCTTATGGAGGACAGCAGCTTCAAATCCTGAATCAAATTTAGAATTTACAACCAAATGATAAGGTTCAGTTACTGGTCAGTTTAAATGAGTTTAAAACAACGAGAAAACTTACCACAATAGGTTCCACATGATTCGGACACATCCATGCTTCGGAAGGTGGGGAACATAAAGGGAAGCGAAGACAATCGATATGATACACATATTTACAGAAATCGCATTGAATCTTCGGTGATTCTTCTCCAATCCTGTAAAGTAGCACAGATGACGTGCATGCTACGGTAAGGATATTCAAAGTATAACCGCTCGATTTTGAACATTTTGAACCAATCTGACACATACCCTTCACAAAGTGTACACGGCTCATCAATTATGATTTGCCGAGGCTGTGCCAGACCTTTGTACGGCATCAGACCATACGGTAATAAGCCGTCGATGAGGTATGAGGGCGGAACATCGAACTAAAATAGTAATAATGACAAATTAGAGAAAATCGTTAGCCTGAAAGTGAACGGAGAGGCACAGATAATGAGTGGAGCATGAAAAATGCGAACAGCGGTATTCTTCAAAGCAATTTCCAAATCAAAGTCTTCTCATATCAGATATTAGTGTGAAGCAAGAGGGTGCGTTCTAGCTTGCGACTCCCATGCAGGCCGTTTGCAAATCTGTGGTCCTAAGATCGGATTCGTAGCGATGATGCGGTTGCGCGCAACGATATAACCTTGAACCACAAGCAAGCTGCAAGCGGGCTATAAGGATGTTGAAAACTATGACCGCTGCTCAAACATACACTGCAGAATAAACAACAACCACTTTGAAACCACAACCTATCGCGCGCATCATAAGGTCCCTTGGCGATATTAAACGCGGCAACAGAACTCAAATTCATCACCTAACACTATTAGCTCTTAACTTCCCTTCCTCCGCTAGCATCTACCCACTTTTTGACGATCTCTAAGCTGTTTCGTAAACAAATTGTAAGTTTCGTGGAAAATTAAGCCCATACCCAAATAATATGACACTAGCATTTCACGAGAAAGCCGATAACTTAATTAAAACGCAAGCAGAGTCAACTAGTTCGCTGGGATTTTTCGAGTTCAATGCAATCCTATTCCCAGAAAAATGATTTCAGTACAAGCCCTTAATTGGCCTAGAGACAAAGAAGTGCGAAGGATGCGTGTAATTACTGTTCTTCAGTAGAGCACAATTTCCCCCCAAAATAAAAAAAAAACACACAAAAATTCAGTAAAATTTGAAATACATATGACCTTGCCACCTTGATCAACACTTACGAAGTTGCCCGCTCCTTAGAAGTTCTTTTTGTTATGGAATGAAAAAGAAATTTCAAAGGAATGCGCTTCTCCCCTTTAATGGTCGAAACAATCACCAAATGTGCCAGGGTGAAAAGATAAGAATCTCCCGAGTGAGCAAGCTATTGGCTTTTCAATTTTTATAAAGGCCCTGAAGGAATTGAAATCCACCGCCGAAAAATACCAGAAGTCCAGCAAAATGTTTCTTTAATCGAGTCAGTGTGCTGTTATACCAGTAGTTCATCAAAAAAAAGAAGAGGTCGGAACAAACACAACAGTGACTTCGACAATTCGTATGCTATATTTGCAGGGAATGAAAGAAAATCCCTGTAGTAGGGAAAACTTGTACCTGGCGTGCATTACAGTTTGTCAGTGATGACGAGAGAGCCATATAGAACTCCAAAATGGTAGTTATTTTCTTCTTAGAGAAAGTTCGCACCAGTTCTTGCTGTCGATAGTCTTCTTCTGATGCCATCTGCAAAAAAGAGTGCCTTTAAGAGGTTTCTGATAGAAAAAATAAATTCTGACTAGTGAGCACTTGAAATAAAAAATAAATTGTATTGAAATAAGTAAACGAAATTATCTCC